GAAGGGTGCTCCAACCACACCTCTGATTACCATAGCTATGACAAAGATTATTGCGGGAGTATTGGAAAGAAACAATTTACCAGGTGCAATTTTCACATCATTTTGTGGGGGTGCTGAAATTGGTCAAGCTATAGCTAAAGATCCTCGCATTCCTTTAGTTTCCTTCACTGGGAGCTCAAAGGTAACACTGTTTACTGCCATTTTCATGTTCGTACTCAGCTTTCGTGAGAAGGATAACAAAAACCATTATCTTTTTCATCACATACATTTTTATTCTCATTTAAATTTCAACTAGTACACATCGGTGTGATGTAGTCTTTAATATAAACAAATAGTTTTATATTATTTAATATTGACTTATTCATTTATTTTATTTATCAATCGAGATTTATTTGAGTATTCTATCAAAGGCCAAAAAGATCTAAAACTATTAAGTTAAGACTTTAGTTTATATTAACTTGAGATTCAAGATGGATGAAATATTAATTCGGGGCTTGGAAAATAGAATTTATCAATTTAGGACCCGAACGATTTAAAATTATCATTGAAATCTCTAAAATGTAAAATATGTTTTATATATTGTGTTAAGTATTTTTATTTGTACATTTTATATGATACGAGTCATGACATACAAAATTCACTCTTATTTTTAATACCGTTTCCAATTTTTTATTTATGGTTTGATTGTTTTATTAATACCTTTCTATAATTATATTCGAAATCTTAAATTGATAGTTAAATTATTTCGAGCCCCGAATTGGTAAATTTAATCTTTCAGGCATAGAAATAAATTATCTTTCAAGTCCGAATTGATAGTCGACTCATCTTTCAAGACTCCGACTCATAAAACTCCATTATATTTGTTAATATCTTTTCTAATATAAAAATTCATGTTACAAAAAATATGATTTTTTATACTCGAGTTATTGTGTGCATATTTGCTAGGGATGCAATCCGTTAATCTGATATTTTAAACTCATGGGTTTGATGTTTTAAGTTGTTGTAATCAACCACTTTTCTATTATTAATAAAAATAGTTCAAATCTGTATCATATATTGAGGACTGCATAATTACAAAGATCTCCAATTAAAATAATTTCTTTATTAGTCAAATAAAATAAAGATTATGGAAATAAATAACTTGTTTTATTCATTCCTTTTACTAATTGGCATATAAAATCAAGAAATAATTAGTCTTTTCATTTTTTTTTTTAAAAATACAATAAAATTGAAATAATTTCTTTATTAGTCAAATAAAATAAAGATTATGGAAATAAATAAATTATTTTATTCATTCCTTTTACTAATTGGCATATAAAATCAAGAAATAATTAGTCTTTTCATTTTTTTTTTTAAAATACAATAAAGATTATGGAGAGAAATTAGTCTTTCCTTTTCAACAAAAAAGGAAAAGAAATTTTTGAAAATACGGCTACGGAATTTTCTCTTCTAGTAATTGAAATTTTTGGCTGATTATATATAGATATATGTGGATTTAATTTGTTTTAATAAGTTACTACTTTAAGTGCTTTAAGTAAGTAATTAATGTTTGTCATGTTTTTCTTATGCTAATTGCGGTAAATACTATTTTATTTTCATATATAGAGACTGTCAGTCTAGAATATATTGCTCATGAAGAAAATCATACATGCTTTTTATATATGTTGATGCTAGATGATATTTTCCATAACAAAATATTTGACATTTCTTTGGGGCAAATTCTACTTCGTTTTGCAGGTATTATGCTAGATAACATAATCTTTGACATCCTGATACTTAGAGCATGATTGGATACAAAGTTTTCTAAAAAAAATCCAAACATTTTTAACTCAACCACTTTTTTTAACTCAACTTTAACTCAACCCCACTATCTCCCACTATCTAAATGATTTTATTTACTTTTATGGAAACAAGTTCATAATTGATTGCTAAAATCTAACTTGTTCATCTAATATTAATTGATAGTGGATAAGTGACATACTTCACTAACGTAATTAATAGTGTAAATAATTTTGTTAATTTTTATGCATTGATCAGTTTAATGGTCTAAACAGCTTCCTGTGTCACGATATTCAGTTAACATATTTGTGATTGCATGTCCAGTGACTGGCTGCTTTTAAAGTTGCAACCTCATCCTTTTTTACCATTTCATTTGCTAATTGCTGGTTTTGTAGGTAGGGCTTATGGTCCAACAAACGGTAAATCAAAGATTTGGCAAGTGCCTTCTTGAGCTTAGTGGGAACAATGCTATAATAGTCATGGATGATGCTGATGTTGAACTTGCCGTCCGTTCGGTTTTATTTGCTGCTGTTGGTACCGCTGGTCAGCGGTGCACCACATGCCGTAGGCTGGTATAATATATATATATATATATATACACACACACACACACATACATATATGTATATATGAACTCTGCCGTGTAGTTGAGCTATTAAAAACTCGTGACTTATGTTTTTTTCTCCCTGTTTGAAAACGAAGCTTCTTCATGAGACCATTTATCAAAAAGTGCTTGACCGGCTAGTTGATGTGTACAAGCAAGTGAAGGCTGGAAATCCATTGGAGAAGGGTACCTTGCTTGGACCACTGCATACTCGTGTTTCGAGGGAAAATTTTGTCAAGGGAATAGAGAAAATCAAATCTCAGGTTTTTGCACTCGATAATGAGACACACCTACACACACTAACTCACATAACACTTAAGTTAAAACCAATCTCAGCTTTGAGGTAAAGGCATATGTATTTGGACATAATGATGATGTCATGAATGATGCCAAATTATACAAGTAGCTTGTCATTCCAAGACGATTTGCCTGCTTTCTTTAGTTCTTTTAAGATCCCTGATAAGGGCATTTTTAATATTTTTAAAATCCTTCTATTTTCCAGTAAAAGAGAAAGAAAAGCTATGTTCAAATCAATTTAATTTGGTTCAGGGAGGAAAAATTGTAGCAGGCGGTAGTGTTATTGAGTCCCAAGGTAACTTTGTGCAACCCACCATAGTCGAGATTTCTTCTTCTGCTGAGGTTGTGAAGGAAGAGTTGTTTGGACCTGTTCTCTATGTAATGAAGTTTCAGGTGAAAACTTCACTACTTTTTCCATTTCACACTTGTCTGAAGCTTTTCATTTTAGCTGCTAATTGATTTGAAGAGCCACAAACAATATAACCACATTATTATTGCAGACACTGAAAGAAGCTATTGAAATAAACAATTCTGTGCCCCAAGGTCTCAGTAGCTCCATCTTCACCCGCAGACCTGAAATTATATTCAAATGGATCGGGTGAGCAATTAAATGTTATTCAAAACAATTGTTATAGCTATTTTCATTTGCCAGACACCATAGTACTTCATACATTGAGCTCTCCTTATGATTTATTTTGTACGGGTCCACTACAAAAGGCACTCTTTTGAGGTTTGATTTGATTACCCGAAAATGAATATATAATAAAAAAACAAACATCTAACTTTTAAAATGATACAACACTCACTGGTTTTTACTCTCTTAAATTCCAAATAAATGTCGAAGGTGTTCGATGCCATATAAATGAGTTTTTGCAAATTGTATAATTACATTAGGTCCTTGTTATCTTTGGAAGTTTACGCATTACAACCCTCAGAATGGGCGTATTTGTTAAGGAAAATGCTAGCCTCAAAATGTTATTGCAATTTGTTAAGTTTGTATATTCAAACAGAATTTTTCTTTCTTTCTTTCCCTTCTTTTTTCTTGAATAGGTAAAAAAACATGGAGCAAAGCCGTAAATTTGTTCAAAGCTACACTATAAACATAAGCAACATTCAAATGTCATTTGTTCAAAGCTTCTTTTTGTCATTGCTCCCTTTGACGTGCGTAAATTTGTCGCAGGCCACAAGGAAGTGATTGTGGCATTGTAAATGTCAACATCCCAACAAATGGGGCTGAAATTGGTGGCGCTTTTGGTGGTGAGAAAGCTACTGGAGGCGGCCGTGAAGCTGGAAGTGATTCTTGGAAACAATATATGAGGCGTTCAACTTGGTAAATGAACTTTGTTTGAATATTGTTCGTTTCCCTTAAATTAATTAGGATGAACCTCAAGGATAGTTTTTTTCGTGATAAGCTCGATAAGTTAAAAACATTTCGGTTCTTCAAATTTGTTGTTTTAATTTCATTTCATTATTTCGGCATGTTTTGTTATGTTTATGCAGCACAATCAATTATGGAAGTGAATTGCCTCTTGCCCAAGGAATAAACTTTGGATAGGTGACTATGAAGATCAATCAAATTTGGCAGGATGATGAAGCAAATTAGTAACTTTGTCAAGGCATGCTTGCTTGCTTGTGTTAAGTCATTCACAGCCATTCTCAGATTTGTGTGACACTAAATTTGCCTGCCTCTGAAGGTTTTTTTTTTTTGCTCCTCGGCCTGGAATAATTTCTTCACGAAGTTATGAAATAAATGTGACTGAATATAATATTTCTATTTTTCACTTTTGTTTCACGAGATAAGTAAATTGAGGTCGAGATTGAACTTACAAGCCTCTTGAAATGATTCTCGAGGATCTACTCGTTTGCTCGATTGAATTGCTTGAGCTCGATTCGAGCTCGAGTTGAGCATTGACACGACTCGTTTGTCATGATACATAAAAATTACTCTCACGTTGTCATAATACATAAAAATTATAAATCGATATTTTGCCCTAATACATAAAATACTATAAATTGACATTACAATCTAAAACTATCAAAATCGTTAGGGAGAAAATCATTGAGTTTCCACAAAAAAAAAAAAATAAAAAAAAAAATCATCTCAACTCAGAATGCGCGCATTTGTTAAGAAAAATGCTAGCCTCAAAATGTTATTCCAGTTTGTTAAGTTTGTACATGCAAACAGACAAATCTGTTAAAAACAGAAGCAACATTCAAATTGTCATTTGTTCAAAGCTTCTTCTTTCCCCCTTTTAAGTCATTGCTGCCTTTGACATGCGTAAATTTGTTGCAGGCGTGATTGTGGTATCGTAAATGTTAATATCCCAACAAATGGGGTTGAAATTGGTGGCGCTTTTGGTGGTGAGAAAGCTAGTGGAGGCGGCTGTGAAGCTGGAAGTGATTATTGGAAATAATATATGAGGTGTTCAAATTGGTAAATGAACTTTGTTTGAATATTATTCGTGTTCCTGGACTAATTAGGCTAACCTCAAGGATAGTTTTTTCGTTATCAGCTCGATAAAGTTAAAACATTTCGGTCCTTTGAATTTGTTGTTTAATTTCGGCATGCTTTGTTATATTTATGCTGCACAATCAATTATGGAAGTGAATTGCCTCTTGCCCAAGGAATAAACTTTGGATAGGTGACTATGAAGAGCAATCATATTTGGCAGGATGATAAAGCAAATTAGTAACTTTGTAAGGCTGTTGAGAAATAGGATCGGATAAGATGGAATACCAACAACACATCAATATGAAATCAATAAAAGACACAAAAATTCGTTAACCCAGTTCAGATATGAATCCTACGTCTGGGGGCAATACTGAGAAAAAACACTCAAAGAGGAGGAAATATGAAGGGTACAACACACACTCTCTCTCTCTCTCTCTCACACACACACACACACACACACTCTTGTATGTTAAGTCTTTACAACAAGACAACACTCTTTCACTCTCACTCAACTC